CTATAGTGTATGCACTGTTTACATGGATAAAAAGATTATATGTAGAGTGTATAAACACGTTCCTTATCTATATGCATATGTGTATGTATACATATATGTATGCACATACATGTCTCTGTATGTATATACATAAATGCATACACATACACATACATACACACACACACACACACACACACACACACACACACACACACACACACACACACACACACACACTTATACATATATATATATATATACATATATATTATATATATATATATATATATATATAAATATATATAAATATAAATATATATATACATATATATACATATATACATATATACATATACATATATATATATATATATATATATATATATAATATATATATATATATATACATATATATCATACATACATATATCCACAGATATAATCACATACATACATACATACATACATACATATCTATGTATCTAAGTATCTATCTATATCATACATAAAATACGGCAATCAAATTACATGCTGTGTTATGTCTGTGGAGATGATAGTTAAAATTAAAAGGCTCTAGTTATTGACAAAACTTACAGCTAACAATATATATGCATACCATAACATCAATATATACAGTTTTGCGTTACAAAATACTTACAATCTACAACACATCTATAAATCTACCATTTCATCTACACCATCGGTAGATAAAGCAGCTGCATTTATAAGTACGAAGTTCATTGCAAATTTGAAAAAGTGCAATCACCTCTCTAGAGGAAATGTAAGGCTTCACACATCAAAGTCATTTCATTACTTGACAATCAAAAAGTCATTCATGTATCAAATTCAAATAACACAGGTTGATCATTTACGTGCAAAGCGACTCCGTATTAATAAATGCACCCGTTAGTAAAACATCATCGCGTTCAAGCAGAAAAATAATAAATGTATTAGTTAGCCCTTTACAACCAAAGCTCCAAAATACATCCGTTTTCTTTTACACTTATGAGAGAACATGGGTTTGAAGGCTAACTTTTACAAATCCAAGTTTGTACACTATTTTGCACTACACAAAATTCAAACAAATTCACAATTAAATAAGTGAAAAGAACTATAATGCGATAATTTTCACTGAAAGACTATTAACATATCCAACATAGAAACTGGAATGATGGAGAATTCATACCAAATTCAAAGCAACATTATGGAGACGTAATTTTATTGGCTTTTATTGGGTTATTTTTTTAACGATAGTCTTTGCAGAGGAAAATTATTTCAAGTAAATATAACAGAAACATAAATCATAACAAGAATCGTAAAGAAAACAACAAATGTAACATGTAAACATAAATGAAATTTGAAAAGTGGAAAACAGAAATCCAGGAGGAAAAATGGGGATGATGTTGAGGAAGAAGAAAGGGAGGGGAAGGGGGAGCAGAAGAAGAAAAGGGAGGGGGGGGGGAGGAGGAAAGGGGGAGGAAGAAGAAGAAAAAGAGGAAGACGAGGAAGAAGAAGGAGGAGGAGGAAGAAAGAGGAAGAAGAAAAGAGGAGGAGGAGGAAAGAAGAAAAAGCGGAGGTAGAGGAAGAGGAAGATGAGGAGGAGGAGGAAGAAAAAGAGGAGGTAGAGGAAGAGGAGGAAGAAGAAAAGAGAAGGAAGAGAAAAGAAGGAGAAGCGAGAAAAGATAGAGATGGAGATTGAGAAGGAAGAAAAGATGATGATAAACGTAAAGGACGAGGAAGAGAAAGTAAAGTGCAGAAAATGGAAAAGGAGATGAAGAAGAAAAAATAATAATCCTAATAATAAATAAGAAGAAAGATAAGAAAGGGTTCGAGATGATGGCTATGAAGAAGAAAAAATGAGTTACGAGAGAGGAAAATAATCAAGAGAGCATAAAGACAACTGGAAAAGTAGGGAGGAAAGATGAAAGGAAGGAAGGAAGGGAGAAACGAAGGAGACGCAGAAGGACGAAAAGAAGAGAAGAAGAAAAGAAGGGTATAGTGAGCGAGAAAAGAGAGGGTGGCGAAGGGGTTCTGTACCTTGCGTTGAGGAGGGCGAGTCGAGCATGGAAGGAAAAAAGGAAAGAAGGAAGGAAGGAAGAGGAAAGAAGGAAAGAAGGGAGAAAGGAAGGAGGCGAAGAAGGAAGAACAGAAGGGAGGAAAGAAGGGTATAGAGGTCGAGAAAGGAGAGGGTGGCGAAGGGGTTCTGTACCTTGCGTTGAGGAGGGCGAGTCGAGCATGGAAGGAAAAAAAGGAAAAAAAGGAAGGAAAGAAGGGAGAAACGAAGGAGACGAAGAAGGAAGAACAGAAGGAAGAAAAGAAGGGTATAGAGGTCGAGAAAGGAGAGAGTAGCGAAGGGTGGCGAAGGGGTTCTGTCTGTACCTTGCGTTGAGGAGGGCGAGTCGAGCGTGGTGTTGGACGGGAGGAGGTCGTCGCTGGGTGAGCCCATTTCCTCCATCAAGGACAGCTCGCTCGGGTACTCGTACGTCTGCGTCAGCGTGTCGTCGAACGAGAGGTTAAGCTGAGGGAGAGAGAGGGAAGCATTAACGATACTGAAGCAATGATCAAAGTGGATATTGGCGATACTGAGGCGATTGCAAAAAAAAAAGGTACGAGTGAGAATGAATGTCTTCACTTTACAGGAGATGGATTTGACCTTTTTTTCGAATACATCTTCGTCAGAAATACTTGATATGACTTTGTATTTCTGACGAAGATGTATTCGAAAAAAGGTCAAATCCATCTCCTGTATTGTGAAGATATCTATTCTCATCCATACCTTTTCTACATTTATCAACATGAATGTGGTTCACACTGAGGCAATAATTAAAAATCTAATCAACGATACTGAAAAAATGATAAAAGTGGTAGTTCTTATGGGTTTGTGGAAGGTGCTATAGGTGCTGTAAAAGAAAATCATCTAACATTTAAAAATAAAATCTAGCAAGGCAATTTAAATAATCAGATGCTATTTTATTCTGAAAGTGAACTATGAACACACGAAATTAAAAAGCAACCATCTGTTGTCTGAGCAATAAAACCAGCAAACACCTCTTTCCTTTGCTACGACTTCTTAATACATTATCCCAATTCTTTTGATCATTATTTTTTAGTTAAAAGATATATATATCTCCTACACTTTCGCACAGGTATCGTAATATAAAAAAACAACTGACATCACCTACGATGTCTCATCAAGATCGATCAGAGATGCATGATTAAGGCGAATGTCTGCTGTGTGGTGCAGCGGTAGCGTTCTCATCCAGCAATCTGGCTGACGCGTTCGATCCCGGGCGCTGCCAGTGGATGAAAACCCCGGCCATTCCTTGCACACAGGGGGTAGTTTAGAAGCAAATAAGCATGCCACAGAAAAGAATGCCCATTGTAACAAATGGAATTAAACTAAATGGCTAATCATTGTGTCTACACCAAGGACTAACAGCCTGACCTCATCCACACAGCAAAACACTGCCATCTTCGCACAAAAAACGGCTTCGTTAACCTGGTTACGAACAGTTAACCCTCCCCCTCCCCCCCCCATCCCTACCTCCCTTTTCTTCGTCTGTTTGTGCTTACGACTGTTTACACTATCACTCTTTTCTTGAGGTGTGGGCCTCGTTTGATTATTTTGTCTTTCGAAGTATACTTTCTATTTCGGTCCTCGGAAATTGTTGCTGATTCTCGCCTTCTACTCTACACCTTTTCTTTTGTTGTATTCTTTTCCCCGCCACCTTTCTCCTTCTCTTGGCTCAGCTGCGACTCAAATCAAATCAACCTTATGCTTTGTAATCTCGTTAAAATTGCCGCAATAATCATTTTTAAGATTTACAGCCCAGTTTCCCCTCCAAAATAGCAATCCAATGCTAGAGTAACTGATTCAGTTATGTCTTAAGCTATAACTACTTAGATTTTCGAGCCTGACACCCGTAATATCCCTCAGACTGCCAACACAAAAAATAAAAAGATATATAAATACATACATATATTCATATCAACACAAAATACTAACATCTCTCTATATAACAAACAAAACATAACGAAACAAAACAAAGAAACGAACAAACACTAAACAAACCCGAAAAACAAACAAAGGATAAATAAGACACGTAAACAAATAAGGCAAAGAATAAAACAATACACAAAGCAGCGCCACAAGACAACCCACCTCATCCCACCTCACCCAACCTCCCACTTCCCAAACGAACGGACAGACAAACGCGCAAATTATACCACACACAATGAAACGCTAACTAGGCCTCGCAACACAGAACGGCGACCCACCAAGCGAGGTGACGAATTAAGGGGATGATTAATGACAATTAACGACGGACCGAGAAGACAAGGGGGCGAGGAACGGGAAGTGGCGTCATGGGCCTAATGATATGCAAATTAGCGAGACAGAGAGAGAGAGAGAGAGAGAGAGAGAGAGAGAGAGAGAGAGAGAGAGAGAGAGAGAGAGAGAGAGAGAGAGAGAGAGAGAGAGAGAGAGAGAGAGAGTGAGGAGAGAGAGAGAGAGAGAGAGAGAGAGAGAGAGAGAGAGAGAGAGAGAGAGAGGAGAGAGAGAGAGAGTGAGGGGGGTATGGGGAGGGAGGGAGAGAGGGAGGGAGGGAGGGAGGGAGAGAGCGAGGGAGGGAGAGAGCGAGGAAGGGAAGAGAGGGAGAGGGAGGGAGAGGGAGGGGAGGGAGGGAGGGAGAGGGAGGGAGGGAGGAGGAGGGGAGGGAGGGAGGGAGGGAGGGAGGGAGGAGGCTGGGGGAGGGGAGGGAGGCGAGGGAGGGAGGGAGGAGAGGAAGAAGAGAGAGAGAGAGAGAGAGAGAGAGAGAGAGGGAGAGAGAGAGAGAGAGAGAGAGAGGAGGAGAGAGAGAGAGGAGAGGGAGGGAGGGGAGGAGAGGGAGGGAGGAGGGAGAAGGAGAGGGAGGGAGAGAGAGGGAGGGAGAGGCTGGATGGGAGGGGGAGGGGGGAGAGGGGGGGAGGAGTGGTCAGAGGGATGCGGGAGGGGCTACGAGAAAGATAGGGGGGGAGGAGAGAGAAAGGAGAGTCGAGATTGGGATGGAAGGGGAGAAGAGAGAATAGAGGGAGCGAGAGATAGGAGGGGAGAGAGAGAAAGAGAGCGAGAGATAGGAGGGGAGAGAGAGAAAGAGAGCGAGAGATAGGAGGGGAGAGAGAGAAAGAGAGCGAGAGATAGGAGGGGAGGAGAAGAGAGAAGAAAGAGAGCGAGAGATATGGAAGGGGAGAGAGAGAAAAGAGATGCGAGAAGATAGGAGGGGAGAGAAGAGAAAAAGAGAGCGGAGGAGGATAGGGAGGGGAGAGAGAGAGAGAAAGAGAGCGGAGAGAGTAACGAGGGGAGAGAGAGGAAGAGGTAGAGAGCGGAGAGATAGGAGGGGGAGAGAGAGAAAGAGACTGATAGCGAGGGGAGAGAGAGGGACAAGGAGAGAAAAGGGGATGGATAGGAGGGGGAGAAGAGCAGAAAATGAGAGCGATAGAGAGATAGGAGGGGAAGAGAAGAGAAAGAGAGTTAGGGTAGGGGAGAGAGATTGGAGTAGGAAGAGAGAAAGACAGAGAGATAGGGAGTGGAGAGAGGAAAGGAGAAGAGATAGGAGTGGAGAGAGAAGAAGGAGAGAGAATTCTAGGAGTGTGAGGAGAGAGAAAAGGGGAAGAGATTTTAGGAAGTGGAAGAGAGAAGAAAGGGGAGAAAGAGATAGGAGTGGAGAAGAAGAGAAAGTGAAGAGATGAGGCAGTGGAGAGAGAGAAAGTGGAGAGATAGGGTAGTGAATGTAGAGGAGAAAGAGAGAGATAGGGAGTGGAGAGGAGAGAGAGAGAGAAGAGAAAATGAGGAGTGGAAGGAGGGAGGAGAAAGAGGAGAGAGAAATACGGAGTGAGGAGAGAGAAAGGAGAGAAAAGAAGATAGGAAGTGGAGAGAGGAAAAGAGAGGAGAAAAGGAGGAAAGAGGAGATAAAGGAGTGGAGAAAGGAGAGAGAGAAAACGAGAGAGAGTAGGGAGAGTGAAGAGGGAACGAGAGAAAGAGAGAGGATAGGAGTTGGAGCGAGAGATAAGAGAGTGAGACGAGAAAGAGGAAAGAGGGAGATAGGAGCAGTGGAGGAGAGAAAGAGAGAGAGAAGGAAAGGAGGAGAGGAGGGGGGAAGATCGGGAGAGAGGAGAGAGGAAGGAGAAGAGAACAGAGGAGGGAGGTGAGAGAGAGAAAAGAGGAGCGAAGAGGGAGAGGTAGAAGAGAAGAGGAGGAAGTGAGAAAGAGAGAGAGAAGAAGAGAGTGAGAGAGAGAGAGAGAGAAGTGAGAGAGAGAAGAGGATGAACGGAGAGAGAAGGAGAAACTGAAGAAGAGGAGAGAGAAGAAGAGAGAGAGTGAGAGGAGAGAGAGAGAGAGAGGATGAAGAAGAGAGAGAGAGTCGGAGAGAGAGAACGAGAGTAGAGCTAGAGAGAGAAGAGCAAGAGAGAGATGCAAGAGGGGAAGAGAAGAGAGAAACGAGAGGGGACGAGAGACAGGAGGAGAGGAGAAGAGAAGAGCGGGACAAAGAGGCGAAGAGATAGAATGCAGCGAGAGAAGGGGACAGTATTTCGACGCAGAGGAGAGGGGGACAGCGAGAAGAATAGAAGAGAGGGGACCAGAAAAGAACGAGGAAAAGAGAGCGGCGCCCACCAGAGAGGAGAGAGAAAGGGAGTACAGATGAAAAGAGAAAGGAGAGGGAGGGAGGGGAACAGAAGGAAGAGAGAGAGGGAGGGGAAAAAGAGAGAGGAGAAAGGGGAGGGGAAGAGGAGAGGGATAGAGGAGAGGCGAAGAAGAGGAGGAGGAGGAAGCAGGAAACGGAGCCGAATGAGGAGGACGAGCGCAGAGGCTGAGAGAGGCGCCCAGACGACAGGGGAGGAAGAGAGAAGAGGACAGTAGAAAAGAGAGAGAGAGAAGAAATAAGGAAGGAAGAGAAGGAGCGGAGGCAGGGCAGGCGGGGGGGAGGGGGAGAGAGAGAGAGAGAGAGAGAGAGAGAGAGAGAGAGAGAGAGTAGAGAGAGAGAAGAGAGAGAGAGAGAGAGGAAGAGAGAGAGAGGACGAGAGAGAAGAGGGGAGGGGGAGCAAAGAGAGCGGCGGCTGGCGGGGAGGGCCAGGCATACAAGGAGAGGGAGGGAAGAGGAGCGGAGGAAGAGAGTTGAGTAGGAGGACGGCGGTGAGATCAGGAGGGCAGGAGGCGGCGGCGGCGGCCGAAATGACGGTCACTCGTAGGCCACACGGCGCCCTGACTGTTGCGCTTGCGAAGCATGCTGCCGCGTCCGGTACCCACCCATAGCGCTTCCTCGGAGTGCTAAAGTTACTAGGCACAACCTCCTTCGATGAGGATGCCATCTGCACGGGCCACCGCCACCACCCCACTCCCGCCAAAAGACGAAAACAGAGGTGTAGAAGAAACCGGGGGAAACTACGGTGAGCGACTGACGATTTCTGACGGGGGAGGGAGGAAGGAAAGAGGAGACAGGAGAAGAAGAAAATGCCAGCTGGATAGGGAAGTCCGTATGGAAA